AATATTTTTAATCTTAAAATGAATATTACTTTGCATGATAGATAAGCAACATGTGAAAAGAGAAAAAGACATGAGAAAAACATTGCTTTATAAACGTTAAGACTTAATAAAAAAATTTATTATTTTGTGAATGACAGCATTGTAATGTTTACTGATAATCCGCCAAATTTTCTTAACATTTGCTTACTAGTTTTATAGTTATAGCATCAAAACTATAGCAAGAACAAAATGGTTACGAGGTCGATGCCAGGGACTGAGTCCGTGCTGAGATTAAAGCAAATATTGTTAATTTAAGCCAAACATTTTATTGAAAACATCTTGTTTTGTGAAACGTTGAAAACAACCTATATATAACCTAGAGCATCAATCATAATGAAATCAACACAGTGGGTATATGCTAGGCCAATAAGGCTCAGTCGAGTCCTAAAAGTGCCATTCATATCTTTTTCTGGATTACAAAGAGATCTAGAACTATATGTCACACATATATATCTTTTATGGGTCATCTGCACAAAACCATTATTAAACCGTTTCACTACCATCATACTCTGTAAATATGTTTTAAAGCAGAGGTGTAGGAGCCAAGTTACAAGTGAATGGGCCCAAGGTTTATTTGACCTAGCAAAGTGAGGAATATGTGCCACAGGTGTACATATTATAGCCAGGATCCAGAACTCGCTGGCCCTGGAAGCTCTTGGATTAAATCTTATGTATTCTTCAGCTTTTCTGGAGAGTAATTTTCCTAATTTTGATGCATTTTTACTGTAAGGTGCTTTAAGCAGCTAAAATATCACTCAACTTTGGATATTATGACAAGAAGAGTAAAAACAATAACTAAAAACTTATGAACTGATGGATAGTCCTTTATTGCAAAGATCAAGTGTCTCTACAACTGAAGCTTCAGTACAGGTAGGTAAAAGTACATATGATGTATGACAGAGTTATATTCAAAATTTAATTAGACTACTTTATTATCAGTGTTAGTACTCTTAGCAAAAAAAAAGGTTTATAAATCAAATTTTAACATTATACAAATTTTAATTCCTTAATTTGAACAACAAATATTGAAATAAATTCAAACATTTCACAATGTTTCACAGCTCAAAGCTGGGAAATGGTAAAGACTCCAGTACTCCATTGAAAGAAGGGGAGAAGAATAACGTTGGATAATCCAGAGGAATGCATCATTGAATAAAATGCAATGAGTGACCACAAAACCCTACTTTGAAAAGCAGACCATTCTCGATTCCAGCAATCTAAGGAACGTTAGAGATGGGCAGCAATCTCTTTTTTGGTTTACTCATGTTAATCCATGAGCATATTGTCTGGTACAAACATATTTATGATGCAATATACCACAAGAAAGAACCTGCAAGCAGTTTTGTGGAACACCCCCATCTTAACAGTGAGCATAATAAACCTTATAGATCTCACAGTGAAGATTTTGGATATCATTATACCTGGATGAGCACCACTTGCCACAGAGCAGGATCCATAACATGATAAGTAGGCCACTGAAAAAAGAAAAGAAACAAAAATAACTTCCCACACAGCATTGCACCAACATATGGAGAACAACTATAAGGGAAAAACAACATTCAGCTGAGCAGGAAACTGCCAGATGATGCAAGTAGTGCAACACCAAGATGTGTGGTGTAGTCTACATGCCAGCCTGGATAAGTTCATTGAAAGAACAACAGAAATAAGCAGCTAAGAACATAGAGAGGTGATGGATCAGATGGGATGATACATAGAACAATTGGAAAATTCAGGAGAAAGGGAATAATATGCAATACAAATAACCTTACGAACCCAACCGGTAAGGGTGATATGAGAAATATCACAAGAAATGGGCAGATTCCAATTGATAAATAAATGGAAGCAAGAGCCATGGAAGGGTGCTGTGCACGACACATAACACCATAAAGCATGGGATGGGCACATGAGATGAGCCAGATCTGAGCGGGAGTAAATATGAGATACGGAAGGAAGGGAAATAACTGGAGAGGAAAACACAAAGCAAAAACAGGAAAAATAAAAAGGAGATGACAGGACTGCCATATAGCCTGCAATGGTTGAAAAGTACAGACCACAGTCAAACAACCATGTAAAAACAGATATCTGAAGAAGGGATCAATGCCAGATAGACTAACAACTGAATATTCTTCATCTATGTTGATACACAGACATGGATGAGGAACAGACAGTCTGTGACAATACGGATGCTACACATGTGGATAATCCCGAATCCCTCACAAGGGACCGGACAAAAGCTATGCATGAAGCCGTAGTGTGGGAAGAATGGGATAAAGCACCCCTGAATGATGTTGCCAGAGGAAGGACTGGGAGAGAAGGAGGTAATGGAAGTTGTTCCTGGTGAAGGGATAGGGATGTAAACCATGGCTGAGCTGGCCAGAAAGGAATCACAAAGAGAACCTGACATGGAATGGATTGGATGAGAGAGATTACCCAGGGTAGAAAACAGATGCTGGGGTCTGCATAAAGGAAGGGTCCTTCCAATCCTAGCTGAATGCATCCACAGCCAAAACCAAAGTAAATGGAACTGGGGACCAAGAGGGTGGAAGCTTGGCATTCAAATGAGAGGAAAATGTACCCAGTTGGGGAGTATCCAACCGAGAACACAGCCATTGGAATAACTGGAGTCAAGAGACTATTCTGTGGGTAGAACTTTGCCCAGATGGGACACACGATCTGTGACAAGATTGAAGGCACTGAGTATGTGACAAGACAGCAAACAAATTTGATGGTTGTTAATCCAGAAGAGGATAACTAGAGTGCAGGAACATAAGAACTGAGAGCAAGTGTCCAAGTGATATAAGAGGCAACCGTAGAGTTGACGGAATTAATTATATATAACTGTCATGCGCCGCAGAGATGACGGAAAATGTACCATTGCTCAACAAACAGAAAGGAGTACAAAAAGGAAGATGTGAAGACTTAACTCCTCCTGAGGCCAATGGCTCGAGATCTCTTGTGTAATGCAGCACATACCACATCCTGACAACGAGGCATCTGTGAAGACATGGTCATCTGGACAGGTGAAAGGAATAGGTACCTCCACTGTTGTGTTGTCCCTGTCTAACCACCAGAGGAAGTCGAACTGAAGGGAAGCAGGAAGAGATATCTGTAAATCCAGAGGGCCCATGATGAGGTGCCAATAAACTTGTAGTACCCACTGCAAGGAATGTATGTGGGCATGGCCCAGAGGGATAAGAGCCTCCAGTGATGCCCATGTCCCCAAAAGAGACAGAACCAACCATGCTGACAATGTGAAGACATGTTTTGGAACAAAACTCAAATCCTACATTTTGAAATAAACCATCCCAATAGAAAATACAAAAAAACTGTAATGATAAGAAAGCTGAATAGATCAACTATGGATATAAGCAGGAATTGAAGGAAGAGGAGACATTTACCCTTCATGAAATGATTTGTTAAAATTATATCAAATAAGGATTGCTGTAGGTTGACTTCAAAATTCTGTTTAATATATTATTGCTGTTAGACAAGGCACAATTAAAGGTAAATAGTTATTAATCTTAACTGTCAGTTAAGTTTAGTCTTTATTCAATTGAACTTGGTTACCTAACTTACGAGGTTAGATGAATAAGCTTATTTTTTTGCCAAAGCAAAATTAAATCTTTCAAAAAATATCCTATCATAATTTTTTATTATTTGTGTACACCATTTTCTGAAGTTCAGCTCACTGAGAGCATTAAATTACAGGTAATGTTTTGGTCACTGAATAGCTTGTTAGTAATACTTAAAGTTATCATATCCAACAATAAAAATGAGGGTGAAACTATTTATAATTCAATGTCCACAGGTAGTGAGGGTGTTAAATATTCCCACATCACTGTAAACATTTGGTGATTTACTGGATTAGAAAAGTTAATATATTGATGTATTTGGTATTTTCCTCTAATACAGATGTAAATCTTTTCTGAATATTTGATATTTCACTTTAAAAAAATAAAAATGTACAGTACTGAACATTAGAATTTTAAGGTGTTTCAAATTAAATTTCCAATGCATTTACACTGTGTTTAAAATTGTCAAAAAAAATTGTTACAAGTGTTAATTTTGTCTACAAAACTATTCCTTATTTTATTTTCTGTATTTAATATGGCTAAAAAATAGTAAATTCAAAGCAGAGTAAGTCATACAAAGGATATTTTTAGTGTTAACAGCTTTAATAAAAGAAAGTTCCTGTAGTAAAATGAGTATTTTCTACAGATATTCAAAGCAGTGTATCAAAGTACTTGAAAGCTTCTCATATTAAAATATCCTAGTAATAAAAAAAAGAAGAAAATAATGGATACACTTTAGTGAGGATATATTTTTTATGGCAGACACTTCTCTATAATGACCATGAATATTCTAACAAGTTTCATACTTTCCAGAAGACTATCCTTTTTCACAGGATTTGCTGTATCACACAATAGTAATTCAAGATTTGACTTCCTATTAAAAATTTTCAATCTTTGGGAATGGTCTCTGCAATGAAGTCAAGGCTCCTTTTTATTTCTATTATTTAAGCCTGTTCAGTTTACTTTTAAAAGTGATAATTAGCTTTTAATAAAAATTGTCTTCTTTTTTCTCATATTTATTGTGGTTCTAGTTTTACTGAACTCACCTGTGATCAATTCAATCTACATGAGAACAAGTATGTACTACCCAGTGTATAGTCTATCATAAGTTTAATGCAGGTTTTCATGATGATCTTTACCTTGTTACTAGTATACAGAATGTTCAGGTTAGATGTATACTTTACCTGCTAGATAAAATTTCATTTTCCCACAACAAAAAGCATATTTTTTGCAATAACAATTCATTCTTGAGTTATTTTTTCCTGCACTAAATAAGTATTCTGTACAATTTATTCTTTTAATGACAAAAAAAATTAGTTTTATTTACCTTGTCTTTTAACTCTCTGGAAATTTCTAGATGTCTCCTACAGCAGATAACAGCTTCTTCAAATTTCCCCATTACTTTTAGTGTGTTTCCAAGGTTACCACTTGCTTTTGCTTCTCCGAGCTGATCACCAATAGCTCTAAGGATCAATATCACACTATTACTACTAACATTACACTGTTAGAACTAATATTAATTAAACTGCAACAGAAACTACTTAACAATTTACATTGGATGTACTTTCTGCAAACAGGCACATTAACCCTATCTCTATGGGTTTTCCTATGGTCACAGGTCAAAGGTCATGTCATCGCGTTTGTAGACTCGCATTCAAAATTTTATTGAACTACTATTTTATGAATGTATATCAATACGTTTGGTGCCACGTTGTACATTATAATTTAAATTTTAGTGTGGTCCATTAGTTAATTTCTTAATTTAGTAGTAAATATTAAAAAATAAATTCTACATACTGATTTTTGTGTATCATGTGGTATGTTGAATGCAACATTGGTTCAAATGAAATGTTTGTGGTGTCCAAAGTCTATAGTTTCTTACAAGCTAGGAACTCAAATTACCAATACTGACAAGCAAGAATATCAAACAAGAACCTCCTATATTTTCTATTTGATGAGATATCGCTACATTTACTGAACAAACACAGTGGACCCACCACCTCTTTTTATTTTTGGAAAGACATGCTTATGTACACTCACTTCTGTCTACGACATATGGATAACCAATTGAAAGCTCAGAATGTATCCCTAATGGCTTTCTCAGTGTAAATGAAGTATTTAGCGTGAAACTCGTTCTTTTAAAGCTTGGAATCGAAAAGGTATGGTGAAACTTTAGTTAGCTCAAAATTTCATATTTTTTTAGACCCAAATATATTATTTGTGACCATATAAAATTAAAATATAAGTGGAAAGATAAATTTAGGTTAACCCTAAAAATAAAAAAACTTACTAGTAATATGCATATTCAATTACAAATCAAACATAACCCCCTTAGAAGATAAAGATTTTGAAATGACTAAAGTGGAATAATTTTTAGAAAAGGATACAATGTGTTTGTTCAGGATAACTATGGTTAACAGTCTTTCAAAAAATATGAAGGGAAAAATAATGATACTTTATACTTTATTCCAATAGAGAGAGTTTGAGCCATTCAGCTTTCCAGCCAAATCTCACACTCAAGTTCCCTTCACATTTTAATAAGGTTGAAAAGATATGAAAACATAGAAGCTCACATGAAGTAACAAAATGTATATACATACAATGGCAAAATGAGGAAGTGATGTTTCAAGCAATTTCAGTCTTCATTGGCCCAGCTATGTTGATGACAGATTTACACCAAGTGCAGCTTTATTATATGTAGCTATATAATTTTTACTTAATGCACTACAACACACACACACACACACACACAGCTTACCCAAATATATATATATATATATATATAATTAAATTACACAAAAACATCAAAGTTAACATTTTTCCTACCTGGAAATGTATTTCAGATAGATACTCATCTCTCTGCCCAGCAAAGAGCTATTACTTCATATCACTGCCAAGAAGATTTTAGCACATGACAAACTTTGAAGAAACTCCCTCTCCTATATGCATTAATGTAGACTGCACCAGCCTATGATCTAATCATCATTGAACTATAGCTCTCCTCTATGTGCAGTAACCTCGTGAGCACTAGCGTTTGAACAAAGATTCATTCATGATGAGGCAAAAAAAATACAATGGAGAGGTGAGAGACTGTACAAATAGGTGAGCATCTATTTCAAAATACATTTTCTATTAAGGAAAACATTAACTCCAGAAATGTTTACTCACTTCTCTATACACAAAAAAAAACTAGAATCCTATATTAATTAGATGTTGTAAGGGACATAGAAGTGAGAAAAGATGACTACTGATGAGCTGGATCAGCTCAAGATTCCAAAACATGAAACACTCAAAAAACCTCATTACAACAAAAAGGGTGCACCACAAAAGTCCCTGAAAGAAGAGTGGGGTAGCCAAATGTCATAAAATAAGACATCCAAACAAAATACATCCCAGAAACAAAGAAATATTTCATTATTTATTTTCTTTATTAAAGTAAAATGATAGTCTATTTTCTGTTTAAAGTACAGTGTGTTAAGTAAATTTTTCCCAAGAAAACAAATTGCCAAATAATTATTTTTTTACTGGACAAACCAACATCATTTCAAACCCCCGGTAACACTGTTTTAGAGAACCCTGAAGAACCATTAATAAAATCTCAGAAGAATATTAACCTTCTTTTCTCTGCTGTTCATTTTTGACAGTGCTTAGTGTATGTTATTTGGTTATTCAGGTTTTTCGGCAAGACTTTTCTATTTTACCAAATAATTAATTTTTACTGGACAAACCAAAATCATTTCAGATCCTGGTAACACTGCTTTAGAGAACAAGGAAGAAAATTAATAAAATTAACTTTGATCTTCTTCGAGGTTGAAGCAATAGTTGAAAGTGTTGTGATTATTCCAGAAAATGACACAAGAAAGAGACAAAGGTAATGCAAAAAAAAAACAACTCTGGTATGTGATAAGTTATCACACAGGGAACATAGATTCTGTTGGCCTATTTTTAAACTTGTAGATATTGTAGACAAGTACACATTGCCCCATTGGCTATTCATTTATGTATTGATTATCAGAAGATCAGTATGATGAATAATGCTTATATAAAGATTTCTACCTTGCTATTGTAAGGTCAAGCTTATGGCATTCCATTGCCTTTCCATATTCTCCTAGGTAGAAGTGGGCATTGCCCAGCTGGCTATAGATGGCACTAAGTGTTTTTGGATCATCAGTTCCAACCTGAATGGCAGCATCAAAGTATGCTACACCACCTCGAAAATCTCCAGACTTGCAGAGACGTTCTCCTTCCAAGGCTAGTTCTAAACATGTTGTCAAATCCATTGTACACTGTAGAAAATGTAAAATATTAATAACATATATGTATAATAAACATCAATTTGCTTTTTTAATATTATATTTAATCTTTTAGCTTTTTCATTTAGTCAAATACAATATTTTTGATCTTTTTATATAGAACTCTTATTAGTCCATTTTTAGAACACAGTATTCAGTTTTGTTGTAAATCAGCAGTTTTCAATATGTGGCCTATGAAAACGTTGCAAAATTAAGGAAATAAGCACCACCGCTGTGGTATGCCGAGGTTAAAAAAATTCAGGTAGTCCAAAGCAAAAAAAAATTTATAACCACTGTTTTAAAGGATTCTAGGAAGTTAGAAAGCAAAAAGATGAACTAAAATTATTCCTTGTCCATAAACCAATCTATAAGACCAAACAGAAGCATTCAAAGTAAAACAGTTCTCTACAAACAACTATTTTGGGGCAAATATAAACTTATGAACATTGCTTATGTAAGTTCAATTAGAATCTTTATATTAGAGTATATTATTATGTAAAAGCTAAAAAACAAATGTCATTATATGAGAATATATATTTCACCTGTTAATGATAAGTTTGATGTTCCTTTCACTCAAAAACCATAACATATTTTTTCATATTTCAGTGTTAATGTTGCCATCACCTGATTTCCATCACATCTGCACTTCCAATGTTCTTGTAATTTATTGCAAGTCTATGCAAATCAATTACATGTAAATACCGATAAAATAAAACAAGTCAGAAAAATAAAATAAAGTTAGTTTTATCACAAAGTGTATTTCAAGCCTATTTATGTTTTACTAACAATTATTGTATATAATAAATAGTTTGGGTTTCACATATGTATCTGGTGATAATAGCAGAAAATAGTAAAACAACACACAAATAAATTTATCATCGTGTATATCAAATAACAAAAATTACAAAGAAATTAGAAAAATTATCAATAAAATGCTGTAACTATTATAACAAAAATGTAACTAAGTACTTAATACTGGACAATCAGGGCATTGCCCTCACTCAGATAATGTGACAGTTTTACTAAAGTTAGTAAAGAAGTGAGATCAATGATCACTAAACATGTAAAACATTTTTAGTTCCCTAGTGTTTAAACAATGAAACATAATTCTCATTCAATAGCCTACCCAAATGATTTCTAAGTGAATATGGATAATGTTATGCATGTCGTTAGACTACAATAACTAACCAAGATTGAAATAATGGAAACCAAGTCTACAGTAAATCATCATACTTTATTACCATACATTTGCCTTGAACCCCATTTACTATTCACTTACACTGTATCATTGATTGCTATTTTTGGTCTCCAGCAGAAAAAAAAAAAAAAGACAATTTTGAGTGATGCTGAATCCTTTGATTCTCCATTGTTTTATTAGTCATTTACTTTTGTAAGCAGTTAAATGTCATTCCACATTACTTTGTTACTTTAGTAACAAATTTGATATTTTCAACAGACACCATGATACCAAAGTATGGTAAGGCCTTGAAAGAATCCCCACTGTGCGTGAAAGAGTAAATTTAATAGTAGGATATATGATATTAGGGAAATGAACAAATTCTAAGAGATTTAATGTCATGATTCTAAATGCCGAAAATGTCATCAATGTAACAATACCACCTATCAGATTTTGTCTCATTTCAAGCTCCCACAACATAGTAGTTACCCATAGCGATACCCTTTGTTTGTTTGTCAAGATCACCAAACTTATATGTGGTTGTTCATCAGAACATAGAAAAGAGCATTCTAAACTAATTAAGGTGATATATCTTATACTGTTAAAAATGGCATGTATAAAATAAGATGGACCCATAATCAATACACTGGTGAAACCAGTTGTCCAATACATGGAACATTATGAGAAACACATCCATGCCACTGTGAATCTTGATTCAAAAGAGGCCACTGCTGAACATTTTCTAATGAAACAGGGTACTGTAGACAAAACAACATTTAGCATTAAGATCTTAGCATAATGTAATAGTTTCCTAGATTGTAAATTCAAAAATTCTCTCCTGTTTCAATCTTATAAACATAAAGTAAAGAGAAATGATTCTTGGCCTTTGTTATTATTATTATTTTGTTTTTTGTTCAATAGCTTGAAATTATGTCACTCAGTCATTCTAATACCTTTTAATGTGTGTGTGATAACATGACACATTACCATTGTTAAGTCAGTTTTTAATTTAATTGTTGTAAGTGTTCTTTTTGGTTATCAATTTGTATTTGTATGTGGTGCTGTAACCCTCAAGAAAGACATAAGCCAGAAAGTTTTTTTTTTTTTTAAACATGGTTTCAACCCTTCAGTCTGCTCTACAAAGTTTAAAAGCTGATAAGCTTTTAATTACTGGGATTTAATGTTCTTTGCCTTCCTATTCAAAAACACTACTACACCTCTGATTGAGGGAGAGATCCTGTGTTAATAAAACTCAGACCAAAATAAAATTTGAAATCACAACATTTTGGTTATAATTTTATTTTGTTAGTAAACTTAGAAGTGATAACACAATTTTTCAGAGCTTGATGTCATAATTTTGGATCTGAAAAAACATGAGATAAACAGGTTAGAAAGGCCTAAGACAATTATTTCAAGCATTGAAAAACTACAAGAAAGATTTCACACTGGTAACTGTACATAACTACTGATACTAGTAACATAGGAATAATAAATTTGTACAGCATTTTCCGACTGGAAACATTACTTCCTTTTAGACAGTGTTTTATGAATTAGAAACATCAAGGAAATGTTATTTTCTAAACAATTTAAATTAATTGGCTAAAAAAAAAAAGCAAAGTTATTAATTAATTAATTTCTTGCCTAGGTTTGGATATCTGTCAGGTTCAAAAAACATTGGTCAGTTAATTATATGGATATAATAACATGTAGAGTTTAGCCTTCAAAGGTTCTTAAAACACTACCAAACAAAAGTTCAAACTTTTGATAATACCAATTTGCATAATTAACCGATAATGTTACCATAACCAATAACCTATATTTGATTGAAAATGGATAATAAATATAAATGAAATGAAACATTCATATGTAGTTTAGAAAATACATTATATAGAACAATGTTCATTTTTTCATATCTTAAATAAAAATGCACACTGTTTATGTATGGTTACTTTATACTACGTGTGATACTCGTATAGCTGTACACAGTAAGCTTGCACTCCAAGAAAAATGAATTAAAAGAAATGAAGCTGACTTAAGCAAATCAAATCTTTATTTAACCTTTTCCACATGAGTCACAGGTGAAAAGCCATGTCATTGCATTTGCTGACTCCCATTAAAAATTTTAATGAACTACTATTTCATAAATTTATGTCAATAAGTTTGGTATCAAACTGTGGATTATAATTCAAATTTTAGTATTATACCTTACTAAATTTCTTAATTTAAAAGTACATATAAAAAAAAAAAACACAGTTAAACTTCGATTTTTGTGTGTCACATGGTATGTTGAATGCAGCACTGGTTCAAATTGGATGTTCGTGATATCAAAATACAAAGTCTATAGTCTCATA